TTATTCAGTTATGGTTTTATAGTTATTGCTGATTAGTTAATATTGTTATGTCAAGGTTAGTGTTCATAACTTACGCTCTTTTCTGAATAACGTTTTAGTCTTTTTAAAATTAAATTTTGTAATATTTAATTTACAACTTGAGTTTGTTAGATAAGGTGTAATGATTGTTTGTCTGTGTTTTAGAATTGGTTAGTTGGGCTTTCATAGTTAGCTTTATCCAGTTAATGTTGTATAATTATTCTTGATCAGTTAATATGTTACAGTTAGTTTTTATTACTTAGTGTTCTTTTCCTAAATAGTTTTTAAAGTTTACTTAATTTAATATACCTAGTGTTAATTAAATTTAAAAAAAAATTAGTTAGGGTTCTAGTTAATCTTAAAAAAAATATGTTACTGCTATTAATGGTACCAAAACTGTAATCAAAATGAAGTTAGCAAGATTTAAAAGAGCTCGGTGTTGGATCGTGCTATAACTGTTAGTAAGAAAGAAAACTTTGTATTAAGTTAGTTATTAGAAAGACAAATTAGTATCAAATTAGTTAGTAGAAAGAAAAAATGTTGCGACTACCAAAGGTCCGTGTTTCTCACAAACCCTCCATAATTCCCCTGAGCTTCTCACTAGTAGACAAGAACTCTAAAAGGTCGGGAACAGACAGTCGCATCTGAGGATCTCTGCGCAAAAGTCCTTTCAGAACTTTTCTGTAGAGGAAAAAAATATACAAATTGAAGTTAGAAAACTTTTAACAAATTAAATATTAGTAAAAAGAAATGATAAAATGTGATTAAAATGCTTCAAAGATTAAACATAACATGATGTATAACTGGATGTCAAGGGATGCAAGAAGTTAATAGTTAGATAGAACAGTTAATTAAAGAGGAAATCCTCAGTTTTATTTATGGCATCTAAGATGAGATGTGTCACAAAAGAAGTAAGAAAAAAAAGCCTCCTGTTATTAAAAAAAATAAAATCTGTCAAAGATATAAAAATGTTTTGTTTATTTATGCCACGTATCCACACAGAACTTAATCAACGTTTCAATACAATTTATACTTTCACACCTAAGCATACAACAAAAACGTCTATGGTGGTAACCATTCTATTGCGTCCTAATATATAATACAATTTAGTAAAATATGACTCTAGCCGAGGAAACAACATAATATTACAGATGTCTTACCTGTACATTTCGGGCATAGAAGAATTCCTCACAACGTCCAGTAGATCCAGGTCTTCTGGTCTGAGTCTGAAAACCAGTGACCACAGCGTGGCTCCCAGTGCGTATGCGTCCATCTGGAAAAAAAAGAAAACAAATGACCGGAACATTAGACATCGGAATCACGTTACATTAATATCAAACATCATAAAAATTGAAGTAATTGATAACGATATGATGCTACAAATAATATAGATAGATTGTGTAACAAAAGTGATGACACCCTAATAACGATGAATTAGACAAAAGGGTGAAAGCGTAGACATAAAAGTAATGATATTTCTTTGACAGAATAAACACAAACAGCAGATAACTTTCTGTGCGCTACAAACTTACGTCTAACATGTGTAATGACCACAACAAATCAAGGCGGAAATGTAAAAAAAAAAGAAAAGAAAGAAAAACTTACCAGAAAAGGGTCGAATTTGCAACCAAGGAAACACTCAGGTCCAAGGTATCCCAGAGTTCCTTTCCAGCGACTCACGGTGTTTTTTCCATCAGGTAAGATCCGAGAACAACCAAAGTCTCCGAGGATGGCGTTGTCGGAGGCGTCTAGGAAGATGTTGTCTGGCTTCACGTCCCCGTGTACACAGCGCTGGTCGTGGAGATATCTCAGGGCACAGGCGGTTTGCACGAAAACCCGTTCCACTTGGTCCCGTTGGAGCGACTGACGCAATCCATCCAAAGATCCCTGAGAACACAGAGGCATATAGATAGCCAGGAAGCTGTCACACGTGACCACCCAGTCCATCTTCATGAGGTGCGGGTGCTGAACGTTGTGCATGATGGTCAACTCCTCGGTGCTGTCCTCGAGACCTCGATGTCGTCCTTTATGGTCCAGGTAAGGGATCTTCTTGATTGCCTTACGAATGGAGTCGTCGTTCTTCATGGAAGCTTCCAAAACTAGCGAATTCTTCTTCTTGGCAAGGACACGCACAAACTTCAAGTTGAAATTGTCCAGAAAGTCTCCATCACGAATGACGGTGACATCGGGAAACGTGAGAGTAGCCATGCTAGATATCTGCCGAGTTGTCGAGAAATTCTCAAGAGGAAAATACAAGACGTATCCAACCTGTCACTGCGAGAGCGATATGCTGAACTGAAGGAATTTCCAGACCCCTTCACTTTTATAGTGGCGTCAAGCGTCCCCCTAAAGAGGGGTATTTGTCTTCAAAAACACCGACACCGATTGTCGGCCCTTGCTTTGACACGGCTTCCATTGTTCACATCACAGACGCCGGGCCGCATTGACCATCAGACATCAAAGGGCGGTCACTCAACAATGACCATCAGACATCAAAGGGCGGTCACCCAACAATGACCATCAGACATCAAAGGGCGGTCACCCAACAATGACCATCAGACATCAAAGGGCGGTCACCCAACAAGGACCATGAGACATCAAAAGGCGGTCACCCAAAAATGACCATCAGACATCAAAGGGCGGTCACCCAACAATGACCTTCAGGCACCAAAGGGCGGTCACCCAACAATGATCATCAGACATCAAAGGGCGCCTTCCCCAAAGAAGGTCGACACACACTGACCAGCCACTCCCACAAGCTCACAGATGATGTACAAAATGCTACAGAGTTAAAGAAAACTCTTCTCATGTTTTCCTGCAAAAGATTTGTTGTAAAAAAATAATTATTATTTTGACAAATTTGAAAACGTATGAAGAAGCAACCGTTTTTTCAACAAAGTAAATTTCTCTCAGTCTTGGCTTTCTTTTCATGTTAAAAAAAACTGTTTTGTTTTTGTTTGTTTTTAATTGGTACTCATGGAAACAGTAATATGTAAACACTGTAATCAAAATTATAATGAGTTACACAGCTCTTTACGGGCGAATAGGTTGAGAATACTATGCTCCTCCATAATTATTTGTTACTGGTGTATTTTCCTTTTTTATCTGTTTTGGTTTATTTTTTAAAAGAAAATATTGTTTTGTGTGGTGGGGGGTAAGGGGGGTTGTTGTCATACACCTTAACAACGATTGTCGGCCCTTTCTTAGACACGGCCTCCATTGTCTACATCACAGACTCCGCCGCTATGACCAGTAGGCATCAAAGGGCAGTCACCCAGTAGAGACCAATAAATATCAAAAGGCGGTCATCCAACACTGACCATCAGAAATCAAAGGGCGGTCATTTGTCTGCGACCACCTGACAGCAAAGAGCGGTCACCCAATTGTGACCAGTAGACATCAAAGGGAAGTCACACAATCACAACTACCAGACACCAAAGGGCGGTCACCCAGCCGTGACTAGCACACGTCAAAGAGCGGCTTCCCCAAAGAAGACCGACACACAGTGACCAGCCTTTCTCACCTGCTTCTTGGCCGGAATGGATGCTGAAGCAAGTACGGGAACCAAAGTGTTATAGTATTTTGTAGTAAATGAGGCGTCTTGACAATGTTTTAAATAAAGAAACCCTTAATATAAGCAGACGTACTGATGTTTGTAAAATGACGTTAGTAAACTTCAATGAAGGCTGAAAGTTGGATAACGTAATTAATACTATATTATAAAGATAACATGTTATATTTTGTTAAGTAGATAAAAACAGAAAATAAAAGTTTGTGACTATTATCTATTGTCGGCCCCTGTTTTGACACGGCTTTCACTGTCTACACCAGAGACATCACCACAGTGACCACCAGACATCAAAGGGCGGTTACCAAACTACGACAAGCAGAGATCAAAGGGCGGCTTCCCCAAAGAAGGCGGACACACACTGACCAGCCATTCTCACAAGCTCACATATTGTTTCCTCTGCTAGTGTCATATTTTAGTGAATTGTATTATATATTAGGACGCAGTAGAATGGCTACCCACATAGACGTTTTCGTTGTATGCTTTTGTGTGAAAGTGTAAATTGCATTTAACCGTTGATTCCGTTCTGTGTTGATACGGGGCATAAATAAACTAAAACATATTTGCATCTTTGACAGCAATTTTCATATAACACTACAACAAACAATTTATTGCAGAAAAAAATTATTTTAACAAATTTGAAAAAGCTCAACGGAGCAACATGCGAGCGGGACCCCTTTGTAACTTCTGTGTCACAAAGTCATGTACTTGCTTTCATTTTTAAAAATTTTTCTTAATCGGTGCTTTTACCTAACTAGAAAACAATATGTTAACCTGGTACTATTGGGTTGACACTATTATGTGGTTCTATTAATTGTTACCACCGTGTTATCTAAGGATTTATTTTTTGTCTTAAAAAACATCAACAAAGATTCACGACCCTTTCTTTTCCCTGGCTTCCATTGTCTACATCAAAGACTACGCTGCAATGACCAGAAGGAAACAAAGAGCGGCCACCCAACAGTGACCAGTAGACATCAAAGACTACGCTGCAATGGCCAGAAGGAAACAAAGGGCGGCCACCCAACAGTGACCAGTAGACATCAAAGACTACGCTGCAATGGCCAGTAGGTATCAAAGGGCGGGCACCCAACAGTGACCATTAGACATCAAAGACTACGCTGCAATGGCCAGTAGGTATCAAAGGGCGGGCACCCAACAGTGACCAGAAGACATCGAAGGCTTGTTCACCCAAAGAAGACCGACACACAGTGACCAGCCTTTCTCACTTGCTTCTTCGGCGGAATAGATGCTGAAGAAAGATCGGAAACGGAACTATTATTATGTTTAGTAGTAAATAAAGCGTCGTGACAACATATTAGTTAGAGAAACCTACCCCCACCCCCAAAACCCCCGATACCTCTAGAAAGGCAATAAAAATAAAGAGTAAAAATACATTTATTAAAATTTCATTGTTCAAATCACAAATTCATAAACATTGCAAAAGTAACTAGATCTACTTCGTTGGCACGAACAGCTCATGTCACTTTTCCTTTAACGACACCTTTTGAACACAGTCAAATAGATTACAAGTGGCTACAAACGGGGGAGAGAACGGCCCTCATATCTTAAGCCACGCCTTTTATTCACCCATTGTAAGATCCCAAGACGAGTGACTGAACTGAGGGTGTTATGATTGGCCATTGTTTGGGTTCTCTGGCCTTTGACAAAGAAATGTTTACTGTGTTCATCTTTCTCTGATAATCCTTGTTTTCTTATCGCTCTCGGGTTAATGGAGAGACCGACCAAGTTGTTTTAATTTTTAAAAAATTCATTCAAATGTCAAAACAAAAGTGAGGGATGGGAAGGGTTGGGGTAAGGAAGGATAGAGAATGGATGTGTGTGTGTGTCCCGCATCTACATCATGTGCTACGGCTAGTATTCGTGCTCTATGTTGGCCGTGCGTTGGGGAATGGGAGGACACACCCCCCCGACACAGCGTGAGGGGGTGGCATTGTATAACTAATGAGGGGTGGGGGGAGGTGTGGGCTTGTTAATTCTTTCGTTTTCTCTCGCTGGTCTGGGGGGCGAGAATGGAATTTAATCTTTAAATTTTTTTTTTTTTAATTCTATTGTAAATTATTTTTTCCGGGGGGGTGGGGGGGGGGGGGGGTAAGGGTTTAAAAAAGTTCTCAGTAAACTAAAAGGATTCAAAGAGAATGGAATGTAGAATAATATGCGCCGGCCGCATTGACCATCAGACATCAAAGGGCAGTCACCCAACAAGGACCATCAGACATCAAAGGGCGGATTCCCCAAAGAAGGCCGACACACACTGACCAGCCACTCCCACAAGCTCACAGATGATGTACAAAGTGCAACAGAGTTAAAGAAACTCTTGTCATGTTTTCCTGCAAACGATTTATTGGGTAAAATAAAACCCCAAATTCTTGTGACTAATTTGTAAAGTTTTAAGTTAAAAATCCAACAAGTTCACGGAACATCTATACTTTCTTTGTCACAAAGTCAAGTGCTCACGGTTTTGGCTCTCATTTTTTTACCCCTTTTCTTTGGTTTTGTGTCAATTGGGGCTGGGGGCTCTCGTGGCCTAGAGGTTAATGTGTTGGTCTCTCATTCAAAGGTCCCGGGTTCGAATCCGTGTAGCGACCGAAACATTTTCTTCTCTAAAATTGTCTCATTTCACCTCCTTTCCTGCTCTGCAATGTTATGTTGTCTGCTTTCATTTCCACTTTCTGCCCCCACCCTCTCACCTTCTTTGCCCTCTCCTCTGGGCTCCTGACTCTTTCTGCAGCCTTTCTACTGCTCCTCCTTGGCTCCTCCTTACTGCTGTCTTTCTGCCACACCCCTGATCTTCTAGTAGGA